AACTCGCCCCCAGCCGTACTCTCAATGGCGCTCATGCATCCAAGCTATTGCATTCAATGCATAGCTCCCTTCTCAATCCTACCAATCAACAGTGCGGCTTTTACGCACTAATTTATCAGCTCGCGCCTCCGATGGGCAGCTACCTACCTATCATCGGTGAACGAAACTGTTGCAGCTACAACCACTGTACGATAAGTACGCGGTTATTACTGCTGACAATGATGACGATGAAGCTCTACTCATAAGTTTACTGAAAGCCCGGAGACTAGGCTTTCCTGGTGAGTCCCAGGAAGACTGAATGAGTGAGTGGGTCATCGAAGAGTTTTCAGTCTAGGGTCTTCAATCTTCTCTTGAATTGTTCTCCTCACAATGTCACCCCACGTGCCTAACAGTCACCCTTATGTAGGACAATAAAGTAGTATTAAGGCGTGAAATTACTGACTGGACGGTCTGTGGTTCGGACCCAACCGCATCATCATTAACGCCAAATGATTGCTGTTCCTAGTGAAGATGGGACTCGAGGCCCATCATTCTCCATAGTTGGATAAGTTCAAAAACGTACGACTGGCTTTACTCATTCGANAAACGTACGACTGGCTTTCCTCATTCGATGAATTCCCAACCATATCTCCGTTTTCCCGTAATCTAACTCAGTGTTTTTTCCACAGAAGAATTGTCCATCATATGCGGCTTTCGTGATTCCGGTACAGGCTCTGAAGCCTACCAGAAAAGTGTATCAAATATCTCCTTTTTGTCACACAGATAGTTTGAGCCAGGAACTTTTGTCCACATTGCACTCACTGACTTGTCTGAATCAGTAAACCGTGACGGAATGGCAGAGCACTCGGCGACTCTGGTTGTGCTCTATGCTTACTAACGATCGATTGGAGTTACTCAAACGATCCAGTATCAAATGTACGTAGCACTCGAATGGTACAGATCTCGAAGGTTTGTTTGCTCTCCCGATGGCTGTTTTCGTGTACGTTTCAACACTGGCATTTGTTAACCAGCTATAGCTGAACACTTAATGAGCTGTGGAAAGACTCTATTCTGAAATTTTGAGCAGGCTGTGTGAGTTTTATTTGATTGGAAGGCCTGTGGATGTGATTACTTTTAAAAGGAACATTGTCTTTTCGGGGGTTCTGATGCACCTTTTGGGGAATGGTGTCTCCTACCATTGTCATTTATTCCTGGAGAAAAAAAATCATTCAGCTGTCGCAAACTTTCGGTGCCTAACTGCCATGCCACCCGGAGGTTGCACGAGGGCTGAGATACTACCAGGTTGCCCAAATCTAGACAGGGGAAGTCGAGAGCTAGAGGTCGGGTTCGAACCACGAACCTTCCCGTCAGTAAATTCGCGCTCCAACCATTCGGGCCATCTCGCCCCATTTTTTTTGAAGAGCTTGGTCACAAACATAAAAAGTGAATACAAGCGGCGAATACGAAAGGGTAACAGGAGAATATGAGATAAAAAAGAGAAACGTCTCATTCGAATTCTTGCCGCCAACAGTTCCAGTCAGATGAGATGAGTCCCAACGTATGTAAAAATTATGGTATGGAAGCACGCGTCTAAAGACCAACAACCGAAGAAGGGACAAGCAATGTTGAATGCTCTTCAACGCGCGGTAGGCGCTAGCACAGTCAAGACTCGTACATCAGGCACAAAGTGTCCGTCATACTGGGTCTGGTGTGAGGTTGAATGGCGAAAATGTACATTCAGATACTAATACCGGTACAGATACTTCTCTAGGCAGCCAAGCATCGGTGTTGAACACTGATATAATGCTGTCCATGATGATGATGATGAGGCAAGCAAGCTACGGCCGAAACGTTGTGTGCATCAAATTTCAACTCATTCTCGTTAGCGCCTTCCGACTGCGTCGACTTGCTCAACTATTCGTCGCAGTAGTTGTTGGCGAGAATCCTCATCTTTGTTTGATCAACAATCTAAAAGCACACTGGTGTATGGCGATCAGGCACGTGTTTATTGTGTTTCCACATAGTTGTTTACAGTATGCAACCTTGCCTACACATATTTTCGCTTTTCTGATAAACAATACATGCGTGTTGTTTGTGTTGTAGACAACCGTTCCTTACGACGACACCGTGTTTTTGCAGTTCGCAAAAAGTTCACATTCGGGCTATGCTATTCACCATAAGATGTGTATTGTCCGTCAATTTGTGAAATAAGCATGGAAGTGAACAGGACATCGACGTGTGTATGAAGGCTTCCTCCCAATTTTTAGGTTATCCACTAGGGACCCGGCGATATTACTTCAAGCCAGTTGACATGCCCTTCCAAAGTATGTGAACTGGCGTGTAGAAAGACATTAACACACCATTTAGCTACCCGCTTCAGTCCAGACTACCTTGCTTTTTTGTTTTACAATCTTGCTTCCGCTGAAAGTAGGTGGTTTACCAAGGTTACCCTGTAAGCATCGAAGGAAGCATACGTCAAACTTGCGTTAGCATTTTCAGCGAATTAGAATTCAAACGTGTGCATTGTCTGGGGTGACGAGCTAATAGTAGTAACTCTTCAGACCATGACTCAGATATCCAAGCGAACCTCCAACCTGTGTGCCGTTCGTTTTGTCAATTGATGGCCTTCTAGTTTGGGCTTGAGGTAGCCCAGTGTTTAAGACGGCAATTTACTGACTGGGAGTTTTTTTTGGTTCGAACCCAAGTACGGTATCGCGGCTACTGCTGCCTATGCTTGGGAAAACAAGCAGTATCTCAGCCCTTATGCTTCATTCGGATGGTATAAGAGCTAGGCACCGAAAGGTTGTGTTACAGATGGACGGTTCCAGATTCCGTTTAGAATTCAGTCCTGTATCTCACCGCTTCACTCCACTCGTGCTATTTTTGCAGGATAGCAGAAAGACCGGTACTTCACCTAATGGTAACCAAGCCTCCGGGCAGAACGCCACCACTGTACCGGTGACACAAACGGACTCGGTAAACGTGGTGGAGCAGTTGACCGCCGGTGGTGATCGTTTGGCAGGTCTTTGTTTGGCTGCCGTTGGTAGTGCAACCCTTCTGACGCAACAAACGGAAGAGAAGTCCAAGGGCGAAGTGGTCAAATCCGTTGGAAGTCGACCCGAATTGGTCTCACTCGAGGCACTTGGAGGCACAGGGGCTGACGATGCGCCTGGAGGTCACGGAAACGATCCAGCGCTACAACGCACTGGAATGTAAGTGTATCCATTAGTTCGGCTATTTGACGATGTCGCGGTTTGTAGTTTGATTATCACCAGTTTTTAGTCTGATCTGGTAATTCAGTGAGATCCCTCCATGGTATGGCTACTAGCTCTGGTGCTTTCTGGAACCCTGATGCTCACAAGACGGATTTCTCTGTAGAGAAGTCATCCTTTGTCATGCGCGAACTGGGAGTCCAAGTTCCATAGGTCAATTGTCGTCCACTACTACTCTCAGTACTAAGTATCTCGACTAAAGGCTTTTCTTATTTGTCTTATCTCATCTTGAAGATGAAGCTTGTGGTTGTAGCTCAACAGCTATAGTCTTATTTTTATCTCCAGCAATAACTGGCTTCCCACCGATGCTGGCCAGACCACTGAATCTGCACTTGCTAGCCTGAGATCCTGATATTCTCATAATCTTACTGAGCGTTACGTGCACTGATCTCTTTCAATGTCCTTAGAGTTTGTCCTGCTCGCCTTCAAGCGCCGTTTGCTCATAAGAGGCAAAACACAAGTGTGCGGCTTTCCACAACAGGACTTTTGCCAAGTTTCAACTTGTCTGTTTATCTAGTAATTCGTCCATTTGTTCCTTCCAGGTTAGCAGAGGGGTCGATGCAGTTCTGCAGAGGGGATGGACACGTTTTCAGGGACTGCCGATATTGGTAGACATTTTGTGACCAATTAAGACGCAAGTTCCGTAAGACAAGCTAAAACAACTGAATTTGACGCTAACCAATGTTTGCCGCCAAAAGCTTCAACGCTATTTCCTAACACATTCGTACGCTTAAGTTTCATGTTGCAACTTACGCGACGTCTCCATCGTCTATTTCACACCATTTTCAGCATATTCGGTGGTCTCGCCCGCGATATTCGTCGTCGAGCTCCGCACTACTTGAGTGACTTCACGGATGCCCTGCATGTCCAGTGCTGTGCCAGTTTCATTTTCCTCTACTTTGCTTGCCTCACTCCGATCATCACATTCGGTGGTCTTCTGTCGCAAGCTACAGGTGGTTACTTGGTGAGTCGTACATTCGGTCAATCGGTTTCACCCCCATCCTAATCACGTGGATTTGGCTATGTCTGTTCAGAGTTTTCGTCATTGTCCAGAGTGGCGTGGCCTAACGTAGCGTAGACCAATGTTTTATCCAAGAACCTGTTATGTAACTCCAGCCTTTGACCTAGTTCAATCCCGTTGGAGCACACGTGACGGAGTAGGCCGTTAGACATCCACCACTGCGATTGGTCGTCCATAGTTGCTTGTGATTGTAGTGTGTCTGGTTTCAGGTTGCTCCCATTAGAGTACAACTTGTCTGAAGACAACCTACACACTGAGAACAGGCCCGCAATGGAAACGAGACGTGTTACTCTGACCGAACTACCGTTTGTCTATGCATCATTTACTTGCCTATATTCATCTGACTTTGTGTAAGGCACATTCTCTGATCTCCTAGACCTCGAGATCACATGGGAACTCTTTTTCAAATATAACTGAGTGACTACTTGCCACCGTCTGGCTTTTGTTAGCCTTCACCCTCACTAAGCCTGTGTTTACTGCTCTGGGTGAATATTTCATCTGATGGTAGCAGTACCAAAAAGTGACCGAAATGATTGAACATCATGACTAATTTTGGTATCACGTCGTCAGTACACATTCGCCGACTAAAATATGAATAAGGAATGAAATTAGAAGCAAGGATTGGTTATTTTATTGAAAACATAGAAAAACAATTTATAGCTTATTAGCAAAATCTTGGTCTTATCCTATTGGATGTGGTCAGGTGACCTAGAGGTCCTCTGAGTGATTGGGCCCGTGTATTTGTATCACATGACAAAGGAAGGCTCAGAGCTCGTACAAATCGTCTTTGACAGCATCATATCGGATTTGGTGACCATATTGTGACTGTAGTTAGGCTGTAGTTAGGCTGTAGTTAGGCAACGCTGTTAGATCTATACTACCAACCAATTAGGCACTCTGTAGATAACGTCAAATGGCTCGTTTGGATTGATCACGTGACCGGTCCCAATAATATGCCAATAGCTATCAAGCCATTGGGTCTAGTGTTATTCTGGGGAGAGAGATGCCCACATATTCCCTGAAAATTGCTGTGTCTTACGCTTGACATATTCCACCGAACTACAGTGAGAGAAAGAATACAGCTGTAAGGAATGTCGTCTTGTCTTTGAGGCTTAATTTGAGCAAAGGTTATTTTTAGTTTTATGGTATGAAACAAGCGGTATTGACTTTGTTGGTTTTACTGCCACATGATTATGGAATTCTGTGAACTGCCGCATCCAAATGGGCTCTCTGTTGATAGATCTCTGGATTGAACCCCTGTATTGTGTCTAACTATTTCAACGTCCAAGATGTGGGCTACGCAGCCGATTCGTTACAGTTTTTCGGGGATTTATAGGAGAACCATTGAGTTCTCTTGGTTGCCTGCTGAGTGATCATTTATAGGCAAACTTGAACTCGACCGACTCAATGCGAAGATTGGGCGTATTCATTTTATCGACAGTACGTAGATGTCATTTTTATGCTTGTATCAAACAGCTCCGACATAGAGACTCTCCTGAACAATTTAACCTGGCGCCCCCTTCATTCGGTTTTCTCACTGGGCATTTCGTACTGCAGGTGAGGTCAATGTGTGCTGGAAAGTCGAGAATTACCTTTGGGACTCATTAGCAGAGCATCTCGGAGGTTCGAACTCCAGTCTGGTATTTCAAGTGTAAAACGTTTCGTGAGCGACTGAACATTAGAGACGAAGTAACTCAGAATAACACAGGTTATAGCGTCACGTGGTTTTCCACCGATTGGTTCCCCTAGGGGCGGCTCCGAAGATGGGAAGTTTTCTCGCTTTCGTGCTACTCATAATTGGTTGATTTGAGATTTGAGAATTTTGCAATGGAGATTTCCTTTGTGCTTGGCGATATTCTGGGAACTACAGGGAATCCGACTTCTGCCATTCAGGTGCAAGTTGCAAATAAGCGTTATGTATTGTTAAAATTAATACTCATTATTTCTGGATTTCCACAAAATCCAAAATTCAATGAACCTTTTGGCTTCACCTGAGACCGTTGTCAGTTGGGGTACTGCGGTACAGTGAATGCACTTCCTGAGGCTTAAAATGGCACTACTGTATATAAGAAAAAAAACCTTTTGTTCCAATTGGCTTTTCCATACCAGTAATTTTCCATATATTGACTGATACTCGATCACTGGGTTTTCCGGAAAACAAAGGACTGAGTATACGAAAGCGGTCCGAGAGGTAGTTGTTTTGTCCTGGGGATGAGGTCTCTGTGAACAAGGATTGTTTTAATCATCTCTTTGAGATGACTACCATCTACACACTACTGTATGTACTACTATATACAATTGAGTTGATTGTGGTAGAGATAGAGATACCGACGTCTCGCTGTATATAGCTATCACCTGCAAGATATTATCTGTGTGATAGTATGATCCTGCACGTGGTTGGTTCCGAGGAAGGATTTCTCCAGAATGGAACATGTGTGGTGCAAAGACTACTGTCGAACACTTCCTCCCCAATCGAACAACATCATCGGAGACGACAGCGTACTCATATAGATTGGCCAGATTTTCTTACCACTGGGCGCGCGTATTGGTGTCGATATTACTGTTATTGTGATTTTTTTATCGTTCAATTTACTTAACTTCCAGGGTACAATTGAAAGCATCCTGTCCGGCGCAGTTGTCGGTATTCTGTACTCACTGTTCTCCGGACAACCACTCACCATCATGGGCAGTACTGGACCTGTGCTGATTTTTGAAGGCATAGTTTATCGGATGTGCCAGTGAGTTCTGCATTTGTTCGTAGAAAATATTGGTTTCCACCTCGTCGTTTTAGTACGCATTTCGAACGAACCCTGCCTAAGGCCTGAGACCACCCACTCAAATGATAAACGGCCCTAGTCTAGTCTAGGATGATTGGTGTTTAATAGGTTGGCTACTTATCATATGATCAACCATCAGCCATCACTGCGGTTCGATATCAATTTTCTCCGAATTCACAGGAGACAACTTTGTAGGGTCACAGTTATCCAGATCCTATAACCATGACCTTCATGTGATATCCATAGCAAACTGCTATTCGCATCTTCCCCATGGTTTGGGAGTGTCCTTTTCTGTTTCATTCAGTGAATCCTGTGAAATGTTTTATCTTCAGTCCACAATCATCATCATCCTCGACAGCATGACATCAGTGTTTAGCACCAATGCTTCACTGCTCTACAATCATGATTTATTTGAAAGCCTTATTGTAAAGCCTTATTATTCTTATTGACGGGGAAGAGACTTAGTGCTAGCTTACCACAATCATTCCGAGGTGCCTATACCTCCAGACATTCACACAGGCGACCTGGAAAGAAACTGACAACAAGAACGCCATTGACATCGGTTGGCAGCCATATCTTGTAGTGTCTCCAACCAGGCACAGTGAGGATCACGCGGTCCCCATCCTGGGAGGCTAATAGTACCGACAGCACCCAAGCGTTTCGTGATCTCCTTTATACTCCTCTGCCAAGTCAAGGGTTGGCCACCTCTCTGTTTACGCCACCCTGAATTGGGCATGGAAAACAGCACTCACTCTCTGCGGCAAGCGATGGTTCGGCATACGCACCACATGTCCCAACGAACGCAGCTTCTGATACTGGACACATTCTTCAATGGAAGTACCCGTTACACAACCGAAAACGCGCTTTCTACCTGCCTCGTTACGGGTTCGCCGGCACCAAACCACACGAACGATGGCTCTGAGACAACCATTGTCGGACACCTGAAGACGTCTCAGTTCCGCTACTCAGTCCACAGGCATGCAAACGATCACCTGCTGCTGCTTTGTATCGTGGCCTCTCTCCAAAGAACGCTTTCCACATTCCCGTTTCAGTGAGAAAGCGAACACCATAATAACAACTATTTTTAGTAATCGCTCACTGAGTTGTGGAGCTCACCTGATTGATATCAAGGTGCACGTGGATCCAAATCGGATTTGTTCCACATCATGGCAAGATGCTGGGACTCCTATTCCCTGAAGACACTGTGCCTCGTGCACTAACAAACACTCCGTACAAAACCTGTCCATATGTTTTCCGTTGTTCGACCACTAGTCTCATAATGCGTTCCCCCCTCTGTGTCACCGTCTCATTTTCATGAATTTTTTTCTCGGATATGCTCCGTTGTTGGGTTTGTGTTTCTGACTAACAAACTGTTATTCATAAGCTAGTTTTGTCTGATCCTAGACAGTTCGCTAAGTGTCTGGGAACTATCCTACTTGTGGTGACTGGATTAGGAGGATTTCATGATATATCGACGTTATTTGAAAAACAACTGCTGAGTCTAATCTGTGGGAATTTGGGGTTGGCAAATTGCCATAGACTGGATTGTTTGTTTTTCCATACAAATAAGTCACGCGCTGTTTGAGTTGTTTGGAGGAATGTACGACGGAAAGGTGATCGCTCGGCTCCCGTTGTACAAACTGACTTGGTGTTGGACGGAAGCTCGGTTGCATCCGTTGTTTACAATATTTTCCAGTAGAATGTGCTGCTCAATGTCTGTCTTGTTTCATTTAGAATGAAACTTTATTCCTGTGATGACACTTATCAGTTTTATGAAACCACCCACGGCTCCATGACCATTTGGTGTTGTATTATCAACTGAGGCCGATGTATATACGGGGACTAGGCCAAAAAGCGAAGAAACCGACAGTTGAGCGTGGGAGGGGGGCTTTTTGAAGATTGCCATGATTAAGAGATTTAACTGCGATTCAGTTGAGTCTTTTCCTAATACCAACTTCACTCTTCTGCGCTGTATGTATTGCTCATTTTCATATCAATCTCGTTTTCGGGCAGTCATCCTCTTGTTCTGGTGTAATTATTCCTATGGCTCCACACCAGAGGGAGAAAATACTTGACTGGAGTTTCGCTCTTGCCAGAGCTCATCAGCACTGCATATTCAATGGCCGTGTCGAAGTTTGAACTCCGGATATCTGACATACGAGGCGAGCGTGTTACCACTGCACGATTAGCTCACGTTAGACGCATCCGAACTTTCACGTCTGAACGGACGGGCGCGTTCACGCTTGATTCATATCGCTGATCATGTACGTATAGAAATTGGACAGATCAGGTGTACCTACTGAACTCAGTGCTGGACAATTCCAACGTTCCCATCAATTTTCTTGGTATTTAACTGTTTTGGCCTCGTTTGGAATGTTGTGACTGAATTGTGGCGAGGCTGGATATTTTCTGAAGTCGAAAATTGGGTGATCATTTGAAGTTATTCCTTGTACTCGGGACAAAGAAATCCATTCTAGCCTTCTGAGTAGAACCGTAAGGTCCCCTTGTCCCATTTGGCGTTTTTCTCGCCGAAGTTGTCCATTCTCACCCACCTATACATACATACATATACTGAATATCTACGCAACTTTGGAGGTCGCAAATGACTCAGTTTTTTTACGGTAACTTTTTTGGAGCCGTATGTTGCAGCCTGTTGAATACACTCTAAGTATGATCGCTCCATCCATTTTTCAGACGCTTGGTATGGTCATATCTCAGCTTCCGATTGTGGATCGGTTTCTGGGTTTCCTTGATGCTTCTCATTATGGTCGCATTGGATTTGAGCGCTTTGGTCAAGTATATCACGCGCTTCACGGAAGAATCATTTGCCACCCTGATTGCACTTATCTTCATCATCGAGGCACTGAAGAAGATTTACGCTGTGTCCAAGTACTACAAAGTCAACTTGTAAGTTTTCTACGCAGCATTTCCCGGTTGTTTGTCCGAACACTGGCAGGAAATTGAGAATCATCTTTTTTTGGTTGCATTAGCTTCGATGAAGTTAATGCAGGAATTTCAGTGTTTCTTAGGTGTTTTGTCGGTCAACCTCACCTGTACCGTCAAAGCTGTTAGTCACTGGGTCTGGGTGTTCGCTTGGTGCTTTGTATAAGTGCGTTTCATGACTCATATGGGCAGGATATTCCGCGCCTCCTCAGTTGTTCTCAGTCCCTCAGAATGACGCTTAAGGCGAAGTAAACCGCGTTTGTCCAAATGAGGTTCTGAGTGCTGGTCGCCACATCTACATCGTTGAAAAGGTCATCGAAATTCCTCTCTTTGCCCATATAGAGATATCACGAGCTTCGATGACCACTGGTTTTCGTGTTGAGCCGGAGCTGATGAACTTTTCACTAGCAAAATTTCCCTTCCCTTTCATGCTTCTTCCAAATGTGGGATTTTTTGCTTTTAACATCGGAATGTTACAGATAGGGAGAGTGTCGATTATTCGTCGTTGATTTATCTCCAATGTGTAGTGGTGACTACAATAGAACCACCGAGTTCATACTTGACTCCATCACGTAGACATTGCCGCATCAAACAGACTTACGTGAGGACTGTGACGTATGAGATAGCTTTGCATAATCGTATCGTCATAATTGTTTATTTGGGACGACATCTCACATGAAGGTCAATCTATTTTCTCTGATTTGTGCAGCACATTGCCTCTTTCCAGATCGTCCACTTCTTCGTCCAGTTCGAAGTCAATGCTGTGTTTAGAAGGACCTTAAACATCCTATCTTCTTTACGAGTTTCGCTCTTTTTGGAGTGAGGCGTTTCTGTAGGTTCCCAACCAAGGCTAGTCAAACTTCGTCCAAAGCACACACTGTGGCTGGTATACTCCGCTATCGGATACGCTATTTGACGTGCGCAAACACTAAAATCTCGTATTATCGTCCCTTGTTTTTATGTTTAACATCCCATGTTACGTCATCATAGTCTGATAGGCCATTGTCCTGCGCTACTTGCCTGCTGTATTTGCGTTATTTTTAGACACGCCAGAAAATACATTTTTGATTGTGTTGAGGGTGATGGTTAGGTTTTCAAACAGGTTCACATGAATGCTGGTAACGTTCTCGACAAATTTATCAGCAGGTTGCTACAAATGCAAAATATGGAAAGCCAGTAGCAATCACGAAGTTTCCGGTGTACAAACAAACCAGCTAACAGCTAAAAGGGGTCAGAGGAGACGCGCGGAGTGTGCGCACTGACAATGTCGCCTGATTAGTGATAAAAAGTTTGCAATCCAAATGGTAGGCTCGGCGAACAGACCGATTAACCGATAAGTGTTCACGAGCTATGCATATTCCACAATATCGTCAATACCTTAATCGTACCTAACCTCAGTGAACTTCGAGCCACTATTGCACCAACAGATACATGACTTTAAAAGCCCTTTTGGGGTCAATCTTGTGACCAGTTTCTACGAGCTGGACCATTCGTACTGACCAGCGACCCCAGATAAGTTTCGGTTACTGCCCGTCCACTCAACCAACTGGTGTTGCCTTCCACAAGGGTAAAGCAGTAAGCAACCGTCGAACCAAACAGTACAAGTCGGTTACTCTGGGGCATTTGAACATAAGCAGATCACCTAGTAATCGTCAATCTGATCGTCACGCTGCATACATAGCGTCAAGCGGACCGTGAACCGTATCGTATTCATTCAGTCCTGTTGAGCTCTCTTTTCGCCATGATAGCATGACGTCAACTTGGCGGTGTTAGGGGTAGAAGTCAATTACTGGATCCAATGTTTGTGATTAATGCAATCTTTTCTTAGAAAGCTGTGTTCACCGCAGCTACATGGGCGCACTGACTACATGCAGCTTTTGGGTATTGCTCACGGTTAGTTCATTTATGAATAGAGTTCAGTAACTATATATGTTATGTCACTTAGATTTAGTGTGATCTCTTCGTCATTACCAAATGAACCTATCTGCGTAAACAAGTTAGGGCGGAGTTCCACAAACACACTGTGTGCTTGTTAATTGAAATTGCAAAGAATAATGAAATTCCAGTATGGACATTCAAAGCTTCGGGGGTCCCGTTCCCAGACCCTACACCTAATCTCCAATAAATTAATCGAATTATCCAGCTCAGCGACGACAGTTTACCCCTATCTTTGGAAAGACCTTGTCGAGACATTATCCCGTGTATCTGAATCATTTATACCACCACGTTTTTCGGTACAGTTAGAGGTCATGCTTTTTCCTGAAACTATGGATAACCAGACCACTGAATGTACCCACCTGGGGCGAGACGGACCAAGTGGTTAGGGCGCTAATTTAATGACCGGAAGGTCCGTGGTTCGAATCCGCCCTCTGCCTCTCGACTTCCCTTGTCTACGCTTGGGCGGCCAGGTAGTATCCCGGCTCCCGTGCCTCCATGTGGCATCACAAATAGGCACCGAACGATTTTACCCACATGAGAGCATCTGTTTTAGCAACATTTCAGTTCGCTCTGATCAATTTTTGTTACCACTACAGGAACCGCAAAATTCGACATATCTCCCTGCTTTGAATATGTTGAGTGGCTTTAACCCTAATATTTCACCACCACATGACAAGGGATCTGGTAGCTTGATCGTGGGCCGATATATTACGCCGGGAAGTTCCATCAGCAAATTTTCAGGTAAGCTTCCAGAAGGGAACATACCAGAGCTTGTTGAAAGAAAGCTCACCAAATGCCTCGAATGCGTGCTACCAACAGCCTCGGACGGGGCCATACATTTAAGAGCCACACGTATTGCACACCTGTTCGGTCGTGTACTCAGTGCTTCGTTCGGCCTCGTCCTGGATATTTTCAATTCAGTTTCACATCTGGCCGCTGACTGGTTGGCCCACCTACTCAAAGCAACAGGACACAAGCTAGATCGCTGAGGGCATTTTCCGATTCGAACACACAAACCCGAAGAGTGCAAATCTACCGGAATGTTATTCATGTTATATCCTTATTTATGAGTGCACCATTGCGTTGCACTCAAAGAAGCGTTACTGACAGAACTGCAGGCGTATTCATGCCACAGGCAGAGGCGCGCATTAGCAGACTACTCCGTTCACGACATTTTCAGTCTGAAGACAGACCTTCACTTGGGTGATATGCCGACTAAAATGGTTCAGTTTACAATAGAAAAGGAGAAATCTAGATACCGACGAATACTGTCACTTACATAAGAATTCGAATTCAACCAGAGATTCAGTTGAATGTCTAGTTTGTGGTGGCCCATTTTTGACGGTCTCGAATATCGTCCCAACTGAAACATGAGGTGTCCTTGTGCACCACATTCAGTTGTAGCAGATGATCACAAACCAGAGATGCAGCTGGATTCAGTCGACTGTCCTGTCAAAATCAAATTTTTATACAAATGGGAGTAGTTTTCGATATCTGTTCAGTTAGGGTTCAAGTGGAACATACGGTTGACGGTGGAAACTCGGGGACTGTGCCTACTTGCTGATCTCCTATAGGGGCGAGACCGGTCGTGGGCTGTCGAACCGTGTTAAGCAACCTCTAGACAGAAAAACTATTGTATAACTGAGAGTATCGTGGACCAGATGGTATTTTAAACCTCCATGCCCACTTGCATGAACGCAACGTGGTCTGTATGCTAGCTGATAAAACAACAAAAATCTGCCAGGTATCAGATAGCGCCACACCAATCCGAAAAGTTGAGAGAATGGGTCTTAGCGACGACTGAGGTTGTCGGTGATCAATCGATCAAATGCGTTTTGTGCATCCGCACTGAAATAGATAATATGTACCCAAATAGGTCACACGAGCCCCTTTGAGCATTGGAATCAATGGGACCACACAGTATGCAACTGATATGACTGTTCATAGTCACACCACCCTCGTTTGAACGGGCGTACTCCTGTTCTGGCGTAATTATTCCGGTGAGTCCACACACCAAAGGGTAGCACTGGACTCGAGTTTCGCTCTTATTAGAGCTCATCGGCAGTGCATATCCGATGATATGATGTGTCGAACCAGCAGTCTTCTGTGCCTTGTGGTCTCTTGTCAACAGTCCCTATCTTATGCCATTTTGTTCGTTCGCGTTGCGAGTTCTTTGTAATGTCCCTTAATTTCCTCCTTTTCACATTTTATTATTGCAGAATGCAGCTGGTAAATCTGTCGCTGTGCCCTGCCACATAATGTGGTTTATATGTTTGGATCTTCATTCCAGTTGCGTTTATTTGGCTATATTCGTTGTTTTTCTTCGATGAGCTTGAGCAAAATGCATAAGTTAGCTGTGCTGCAGCGTATTTTATACTCACTCGCACAGGAGCTGAGCTTGCCTTTTTTTGGAGTGTTTACAATGAGGCCGTGAAAAGGTACTGAGGGATGTGCCCTTACTAGCGAGTGCATTTTAGTATACTACTGAAAAGGGTTTCATGTTCCGCTGCTGTTTTTCCTCGAAACCGCATTCTGCTTGTCATTATCTCAGTTAGCTTATTTCCTTCCAAAAGATCTTTCATCTTTCTACTGATAGTTTATCTTCAGCTGTTTTGTTCGTGCACGAGTCAACTCACCCAAATACAAATGTTAAGGCAGTTGTTTGCTAGATGCTGACCAGCTGAAAAGAGATGGCGGAAAGGGTGATGATACGAAGTGTCGTAAGGAACGG